TAAAATTAAAATAATAAATTATTTTTAAAAATAAATAAAAAGTGAGTTTAGCAAAGTTTCAGACTACTAAGTGAACATATGAACATGAGTTCTATTTCTATATAGTGACAACAAACAGTGGGAAATAGAATAGTTTTACATGCCATTTACATACAGTGTTATCAAAAAATATGGAATGCTTGGGGATAAATCTGACAAAAGATATGCAAGAGTTGTACAGTTAAAACTACAAAGCTCTACTGAGAGAAGTTAAGACTTTAGTCAGTAGAAAGATACACCTTGTTCACAGCTCAGATTTAATATTAAGATGTCAGTTCTCCACAAATTGATCTATATATTTAACACAATCTCTGTCAACATCCCACTCATTTCTAGAGATTGGCGAGCTGATTCTGAACTTCATATGGAAATACAAAGGACCTAGAATAGCCTCAACATCTCTGATATAGAAGAACAAAGTTTGAAGGCTAACACTACCTGATTTTAAGACTCATTACAGAGCCACAGTAATCACAACATACGGTTTTGATAGACAAGTATATCAATGAACCAGAATAGAGATTGCAGAAATAAACCCACATGTATATGGACAAGTGATTTTTTTTTGACAAAGTTTCAAAGACAATTCAGTGGAGAAAGGATAATCTTCTCAAAAAAAGATTCTCTAACAACTGGATATCTATGTTCAGAAAAACTCAATCCATACCTCACATGACATTAAAAAAAAAGTTGCATATGGGGTGCCTGGGTGGCTCAGTTGGTTAAGCGTCTGACTTCAGCCGGGTCATCATCTCATGGTTCATGAGTTCAAGTCCCGCGTTGGACTCTGTGCTGATAGCTTGGAGCCTGGAGCCTGTTTCAGATTCTGTGTCTCCTTCTCTCTCTGCCCCTCCCCTGTTCATGCTCTGTCTCTCTCTCTCTCTCTCTCTCTCAAAAAATGAATAAATGTTAAAAAAAATTTTTTTAAGTTGCATAGAATAGACTATAGACCAGGGGCACCTGGGTGGCTCGGTCAGTTGAGTGTCTGGCTCTTGATTTAGGCTGAGGTCATGATCCCAGAGTTGTAGGATCGAGCCCTGTAGAGCCCTGTATCGCCCAGCATGCTCTCTCTCTGCCCCTCTTCCCAACTCATGTTATGTCTCTAAAATTAAAAATTAAAAAAAGAATAGATCGTAGGCCTAAGTATAAAACCCTAAAACATCTATAGAAAACAGGAGAAAAATCTTTGTGACTTTGGGTGAGGCAAAGAGTTCTCCTGTATGACACCAAAAACATCCAAAAATGAGGTGGACATATATTGGACTTCATGAAAATTTAAAACTTTTGCTCTTTAAAAAAGACTGTCAGGAGAATGAAAAGACAAACCACCATTTGGGAAAAAAATAATTGCAAAGCATGTATCTGATAAAGTAAGTTGTATTAGAGTCCTCCAAAGAAACAACCAGTAGGAGAGAGACATAAGGAAATTTGTTATAAGAAGTAGCTCCAGCTGGAGAACCGGGAAAGCCAGTAGTACAATTCAGTCTGAGCAAAAAGGCCTGAGAACCAGGAGCCCTAGTGCCTGAGGCAGGAAAAGGTGGACATCCCAGCTCAAGAAGAGAGAGAATTTACCCTTCCTCTGCCTTTGTGTTCTGTTTGGGCCCCAGTGGAATGGGTGACCGCCCCCTCCCCCCACACTGGTGACGACAGATCTCTACTCAGTCTACTGACTCAAATGCTAGTCTCTTCTGGACACACCCTCCTTGACACACCCAGAAATAATGTTTTACCAGCTCTCTGGGCATCACTTAGCCCATCGACTCGACATACAAAATTAACCATCACATATATGGACGCAGAATATATAAGGAATCCTCAAAACCGAAGACTAAGAGAACAAACAACTCTATAATGAAATGGACCAAATGTTTGAGCAGATGCTTTACCAAAGAAGATACAAGGATGGCAAAAAAAAAAAAAAAAGTACACAATTACATAATTAAGAGGCTGATCATTAGTCATTAGAGAGGTGCAAATCCACAAGGAGGGACCACTGCATGCCCCTTGGAATGGCTGTAATCACCAAGACTGACCTTACCAAAGGGTGGCAAGGATGTGGAGCTACTAGAACTCTCTCGCCTGCTGATGGGAATGTGAAATGGCACAACCCCTTTGGAAAACAATTCAGCGGTTGCTTAAAAAAAGTCCCATTGGCCAGGGGCTTGTATGCAGAAGTCGGGTTAAAGCTACACCGACAACCAGGTCGTAATGATCTCGCGGTGTTGAGTTCGAGCCTGATTGTGTTTGCCGATGGCTCAGGAGCCTGGGATTGCTTTCCGATTCTGTTCCTCTCCTCTCGCCCTCCCCCCGTTCATGCTCTGTCTCTCTCTGTCCCAAAAATAAATAAACGTTGAAAAAAAAAATTAAAAAAAAAAAAAAAGTCCGACACAGACTCACCATACAACCTCGTCGTCACGCTGGTAAAACGAAAGCTTACGTCCATACAGAGATCGACGTGTGAATGTTCATAGCAGCTCTGTTCCGTCCCCAAACTAGAATCAACCCACATGTCCATTCACAAGTGACCAAAGTCCAAGCGTGATATATCTGTACAAGAGAATAATACTCAGCAACACCAAGGAATGAACTATCAGTATACATAACAACACGGATCGGATCGCAAGATGATTATTCTGGCTGAAAGAAGCCAGGCAAAAAAAAGAATATATACCGTGTGATTCCATTTGTTTAAAACTCCAGAAAAAGCAAACTAATTCCTAGCGAGACAAAGTGTATCGCTGGATGCCTGGGAAGTGGAGTAGGAGGGAGAGGTCACAAAGAGATTAATAAGGAGCATCTTGGAGGTCCTGTAAAAGCGTGAGAAGGAAGAAAGGAAAAAAGTGAAATGACTCCAAGGAAGGTTTACATAAATTGCTCTGACTGTGACCTTCAACCTTGACCCTTCATTCTCAAGAATGTAGAAAGTTGGGAAAGGGGCTGCTTCTTTGGGATCAGGGAAAAGGGTACTCCTAATACAGTGGCTTCCCCCACACCTCATTCAGACAGTTCTTAGATGCCTGGCATTTTCCCTCTTTTTAAATAATATCTGCCTGGATTTTGATGGGCTCAACAGGTGTTTTCTAAGCCCCCATAGCCTTAGAACCACCAAGTGAATCCAAATAAACCTTATTTATGACTCGTAAGCACCTGTGAACTTATCTACTGCCTGTTCCCCACCCTCCCGAAGAAAGTCTGCTCGCTCGATATTCGGGAATATCTCTAATGCTGTGTCCTAGAACTGTTGGGGAGTTGGAGGTGGCCCCACAGTCCTGACAACTCAAAACCAAACCTTTTCTGATCATGTCCTTAGTCTGCTAAGAAGTTTTATAAATATTAAATAAACCAAGTTCAGCCCCTTGGGTTTTGGAGGGAAATAGTCCTTCCAGGGTAGGAAAAAAAAAATCAGTCCATTGCCAAGTCTTTTTAGACAAAAGCATTTTCCTCCTAATGATCCAAGAACTGGCGATTATGGAAGGAGAGATGAGATCCACGGGATGCATCTGGGAACTAAAACAAGCAGCTGTAAAATGAGAGCGCGGGAGGGGGTGTCCTGTAAGGTTCCACGCCGGTTCCCGCTTCTGTCCCTCTCGCCACGAGGGCTGGCCCGCCCACACTTTGGTTCTGCCTTTACCGCTGGTTTTGCAGGGTGACGCGGACTGACATCATCCCACTTTGTGAGTGAAATGAAGTCACTACGCTTTCATAAAAAGCCACGTATTTCAAACTCCTGTGCTTAACACACAGTCTGGATGCCGGCTTTGGGACCTGGGTCCCGGGAGGGTGTGCTGCTCACTCATGTGGGGCTGGCGGACAGTGGCCTGAGGGCGTGAGTGCAGCAGCCTCTCTGTGCAGAAGCACCACCTGAATGGAAGCAGCAGGTGACTGCCCCCTTCCCTGCACCTCCTCACCGACCCCCACGTGAGTGTGGATGAAGCCAGAACTCGGTTCAGATCATTTCCTCACCGCCCTAAGTGCAGCCCTGTGTCGGGTGCTTTCGTGGATGTCGTCTCCCTAATTCTCAAATCCACAAACGTCTTGACAAGTGAAGCTTTAAAGGGCTTGCTTTTTAAAAAAAAAAAAAAATTTATAGGTTTTTTTTATTTATTTTGGAGAGAGAAACAGCGCAAGTGGGGGAGGGGCAGAGAGAGAGGGAGACACAGAATCCAGAGCAGGCTGCAGGCTCCGAGCTGTCAGCACAGAGCCCGACGCGGGGCTCGAACTCATGAACCGTGAGATCATGACCTGAGCCCAAGTCGGAAGCTTAACCCACTGAGCCACCCAGGTGCCCCAGGGGCTTGCTTTTAATAGAGAATGGAGCAGGCCACATAGGGAGAGCAGCAGCATAGAGAATGCTCCCCACACACCTCCCTTTCACCCCAAGTTGGGGGTGAGGGGGGTCTTCAGGATAGAAGAGTTTGCTGCCCTGCTCCACGCAGATACTGACTTTCTTCCTTCTGTTCGTCTGGGGAGTCTCAGACTTCGGGATAGAGAGAGTTGCAAACACTGTCAATACAGCTCCCCCAGTGGCCCACCGTCACTTCCCTAGATTCTGCTCAGGTGTCCCCTCATCCGCAAGGCCCTCCCTGACTGGCCCCATACCCGTTAGTGACCACCCAGCTCTCCCCGTCCCCAGCCCGTTTGCTAATTCTCGGTAACACACGGCCCCACCTGGCATGTTACATACTCACTTGTCTGTCTAATGCACCTCTCCTGTCTCTAGAAGCTGAGTGCTGTGAGAACCAGTACCTGGAACTCTGCCCACTCAGTGCATCTTCGCTCGATGAGTGAATGATTCTGAATAGGCAGCCTGAGGGACCGTCATGAGCAGTTTCGAGTCCACGAGGTCTTTGCCTTCTGAGCTGCCTTTGGGACCTACCACTGTTGGTTCTGGTGTGATACTTCCTGGGAGGCGACACTCAGCAAAGCTTCTGATGTGTCCACCCTTCCCTTTCCGACACCAGGCGAATACAACACCCACAACGGACCTTCCACGCCGGCAAAGGAGGGAGACGCAGACAGGCCGCACCGGGCCTCCGACGGGAAGCTCCGAGGCCGGTCGAAGCGGAGCAGCGACCCCTCCCCAGCGGGGGACAGTGAGATCGAGGTAACTCCAGACTGCCTGTTTGACTTGGTGAATGTAATCTCCAGCCGTGGCCGGAACGAGAGGCTGGGGGGCAGAGTTGTGTCCACGCACACCGCGGGGCTCTGGGTTCACAAAGCTCAGTAACAGAACAGGACCCTTGAGGGGAAAGGAGAGAATTGCGGGGGCCGTCAGGAAGCGCAGTTGACTGTCCAGGCTAGGAAAAGTCACCCTGGGGATAGTAAACAACTCGGGTAGACAGCCGCAGAATCACCTGGAGGCCTGTGAAAACCCAGCTTTCGGGGTCCCACCCACAGTTTCCAATTTAGTAGATTGGGGGCGGGGCCTGAGAACTGGCATTTCCAGGGCATTCCCAGATGATGCTGATGCTACAGGTTGGGGAGCACACTCTGAAAGGCCCTGGTAAAGACACCAGTGGGCGGAGAACCTTCCCAGCTGGGTCAGAGGGTTCTTAGCCTCCTACGTATTACTGTCAGCTGGAGTGCTCTTTAAAATACAGGTGCCCTGGCCCCATCCCAGACTAATTAAATGTACATTGCAAGAGAGTTCTATTAGTTCCCCTCGTGGCTCTGATATGGCTTGAGGATTTACCTATCAGGAGACAGGAGGCTGGCTCAGCTTGCATCATTTCTACGATTCTGAGTTTCATAGAAGGTTCTTGGAACCGTCCTTCTCAAGCTGCATCCCAGATCAATTAAATCCAATTCCCTGAGGGAGGGACCCAGGCATCGGTATTTTAAAGCTCCCCAGGTTATTTCCAGAGTGCCGCCCCAGCTGGTCTAAGGGATGTGCCAGTCTTTAACAAAGCCAAGCGTAGGATCGATCGTTGGTCACCCACTGGCATTGTCCCAAACAAACAAAAAAGAACAGCATACATGAGAGAAGGGAAAGGGTACTAGTGGGGACAGAGGAAAAACAGATGCCCAAAAAACAGATGGAAGCAACTGATAGACATCTAGGGAGAAAAAAAAAAAAAACAGGCAGGTTCGTCGGTTTGTACTTTGCAAAAGGCAGAAATAATAGGAGGGCCGATCTATCGGCTTGAGTGTGCCATGCGTATATGGGTAGTATTGGCAGAGTCTGGGTCCGGGCCAAGAAATTGAAATGTACCATCATCCCATCTCTGTTCATAATCCTGTACAATTCATGCAGCAGCCACAAGGCTCAGCCCACAAACTCAGATGTGCTGAGAAATACAATTTTCATCATCTCCTTAAAGTCATTGTGATTTTGACTCTGAGTCCCCATCCCATCAGGATGGTAAGAAATGCAGTGTCATGGGTGGGGGGGGCCCTTCTACCTGGAATTGTATGAGAATCTCAGGGCTCAGGTGGTCTCAGAACAGACCAGGTCTACAGAACAGATCCCTGTAACGGCCAGGATTCGAGGTGATGGCTGCTTCCTTCCTCCTTGTCAGTACCTGCCGTGGCCCGTGAGAGCCCAGCCCTTCTCTGGCATGTCCATGCCATACATTGGGCGTTGAAATCCTCGTCGAGGACCAGAACCTTGGAGCATGAGATACAATCCTTTGGTTGCAAGCGACAGAAACCAGTTCTGGTTACTTAAGCAAATGCGAATTTACCGGGAGGGCACAACAACATGGAGGGGGGAAGTGATAAAACCAAGGTTGGAAACAGCTGTAACAAAGACCAAGGAATCTAGGGAACCTTCTGGGTGCCGGCCCCTGCTGGAGAGTAAACCACGCGCGATTCTAACGCCAGTTCACTCAATGTCTGATTCCAAGGAGACAGCCTCCACTGGCCTGACTCGGGTCTTGGGCTCACCCTTGATCGACAGCCCCACCAAGACAACAGAAAAGAAAACCAGGGTGCTCTTATCAGACAGGGACGGATGCTGGGGGCCCAAGCACAAATGGCCACCACCAGGGGATTTGAGATGTAGCCAGCATTCGCTGGTAGGGCTTGTTTATGGCCAGCGTCTGTTCCGGCTGTCCCAGAAGGTGCTGCGTATTTTGAATACCACTCTCGTCTCCTCCCCTTGGTCAGCCGCCTGAGGTATTCCAGCGGCCACCCAGGCTGAGAACTTGACCCCCTGCGGACCCGCCACGGAGCAAGCGTTCCCACTGCTCATGGGACCACTCTTAGGCCAAGGGATTTGTTCTTGCTTTTCCTCTAATTCTTAGAGCCCTCTCCTTCCAACACCGAGGGACTTTGCAGCATCCCCTCAGCAGGACTTAGGCCTTTGCAAAAGACCAGAAGAGAATTTGTGTGCCTCCGGTCGTCCTTCGGTTTCCTGCCTCCCATTTTCCCGAGGGTTTCCTACAGCTTCAAGTTGCGGGATCTGTGGAAATCAGAGGGTGGCACACACACGGATGTCTTGTTGTTGTCGTTTTTTCTACTGTTCGGTCACTTAACACGGCTTCTGCTCTTGGTGGGGGTGGAGAGACATTTTTCCACTGAACTGAGAAGGCAGTGGGGGTGGCATGGAAGTCAGGGATTACGGGGCAACGTTATTCTGGAAACAGCTGCTTCTCGATTCCAGAGGAAAGTACCACTGGGCGAGAGCCGTTGAAAAGGTGTGAGCTGTGTTTCACTTCTGTGCTTAATGTCAGCATGGAGGGTTAGCACCACATCGCACCTCCTAAGGCTTTGGCAGTTTTGCTAATGACTGAAGCCCACGAGAGAGAAACGACGTGGGAGAAGTGGAAAGGAGGGAAATTCTGAGCGTATATTAGTTAAACTCCATCGACCGCAGGTGCCAGAACCCCACGTGAGCTAGCTTAAGTGGAAAAGCAGAATTTATTTTAGGGATACAGAGATTCTCTTCCCCAAGGTGGGAAGAGCGGAGTGTCAGCAAGATGCTGGAACCAGAAGGAAGACGGGGCAAGAGGAAAAGCGTGTGCGCCTTCTCTCCGCACGCACTACAGTGCAGGTGCCCGGATGCCCAACCGTAATGTCTTCAGCCCGCACAGGCGCTGGTTCCTGGGCTCTGCCCTCCTCCAGCCTCCCTCTGTTTCCGTCTGAAACCAGGTCCTGGCAAAGTGTGGGGTGGTCTTTCCATCTCTCACCCCTCTGTGCCACGCTCCCTGCAGACTGGCCCTCCCTGCCCTTCCGATTGTGCGGCCTCCAACAGCCACCCAAAGATGGTGAATGCCTTTCTGGGTTCTGATTTCAAGTTTCCAAGGAAAAGCCTCTGGCCCAGTTGGGATTGGGGCTCTCCCTGGCCCAAACCATGATGGGCTAGGGGGGAGGGTCACTGCAAAGCAGCCACCCGGAACTTACCCACCAAGGATCTAAGGCAGGGGAACAGAGTGGTAGGGAGGGGGGCAGACTTTCTTCTTCAGAGGCTATGTTGTAGATAAATGAATGGGGTCTGCATTCAGTTTGAAAATACTCACTGATTTTTTTTTTAATTCCCTTACCAAAATCTCTCGGTTTAACTGATCCGACTAAGTTCATTTATTTTTTTTAAGTTCATTTATTTATTTTTGAGAGAGAGAGAGAGAGAGAGCTTGCATAAGCAAGGGAGGGGCAGAGAGAGAGGGGAAGACACAGAATCTGAAAACAAGCTCCAGGCTCTGAGCTGTCAGCACAGAGCCTGACATGGGGCTCGAGCTCACTAACCATGAGATCATGACCTGAGCCAAAGTCAGACGTTTAACTAACCAGCCACAGTGGCTCCCGATCCAATTGAGTTCAGATAAATTGGGACTTAGCCATTGAAACCCAGAAGCCCTCCTTAAAAACAATAGTTTTCAAATCTCTTTTTTTTTACCATGACCCGTAATAAGAACTATACTTAATACTGTGACATACACACACATAAATGACCAAAAAACTCACAAAGTCACACTCAGATCTGCCAAGTGCCTTGAAAACCCTTGCACTAACTGACCTTTTCCTCCTAGAGACCACCCTTCTGTTAAAGGCATGGCGAATGCCCATGTTTAAATTAAGTACAGCCGTTCACCTCCAGAGAGGTTTCAAGGGTGGCCCATTCAAGATAGCAGACTGAGTAGGTGCATCGGGCCCCCTGCTACCAACACCAGCTACACACGCAGTCAGTCAGGCCCTTTGCCCTTAAAGACCGTGATCCCCGGAAAATGACAGAAAGCAACAGTGTGAAAGATAAGGGCCAAAATAAGTTAATAGGATACATGACAGGTAATTTAAAAACCAGAAAAGAACTTTGGAAAACTCTGAGCAGTTTTCTTGTAAAGATCCAGGGAGCTCTTGCATCTATAAAATATGCAGTGGGGGCTGTTCGGAAGGAAATACTCAGAGACAAAGAGTCATTGGAAATTTTTAAATGACAGAATCAGAAGTTTAATAGAAGGGTTGGAAGAAAACGTTTAAGAAATCTCCCCGAACACAGATCAAAAAGACAAAATTCTAGAAAATATTTTTTCTTAAAGTACAAGCAATATCAATCAAAAAGGTCTAATTTGACTGTCTTCATGTAAAGAAATAAGATCAAAAATGCTTAGGTGCTGAACAGTATGAATGAAGAAAGACCATACCTAGGTTTATCCTCACGGAACTTGAGGACTGCATGTATAAAGAAAAGATCTTAAAATATCCCAGAGAAAGAGCCCAAATGTCCATCACTGATGAATGGATAAAGAAGATGTGGTTTATATATACAATGGAATACTACTTGGCAATGAGAAAATGAAATCCTGCCATTTGCAACAGCGTGGATGGTACCGGAAGGTATTACTGCAGAGTGAAATAAGTCAGTCAGAAAGACAGATGTCATGTTTTCATTCATACGTGGAACTTGAGAAACTTAACAGCAGACCATGGGGGAAGTGAATGGGAAAAAAATAGTTACAAACAGAGAGGGAGGGAGGTGAACCATAAGAGACTTCTAAATACAGAGAACAAACTGAGGGCTGATGGTAAGGAGCAGGGGAGAGGGGGAAATGGGTGATGGGCATTGAGGAGGGCACTTGTTGGGACGAGCCCTGGGTGTTGTATGTAAGCGATGAATCACGGGAATCTACCCCCAAAACCAAGAGCACGCTGTCCACACTGTATGTTAGCCAATTTGACAATAAATGATACTAAAAATAAATAAATACAATAAAAGATGGACAAGGAAAAAAAATAAAAATATCCACAAGAGTGAAAAAGCAAAACCTACGAAGGACTAAAGGTCCATTAACATTACACTCCCCGTCGGTCACACGGGACACTATGAGATAATAGAGGAATTCTTTCAAACATCCAGAGGACTTTATTTTCCAATTGGAATTTTGTACCCACGGGTACCGTAGAGCAAAATGAAGATAGATCAGAAAGGTAGGAATTCAGCACGGTTACTTTCCAGACACCCTTTCAGAAGAAGCAGCTTCAGGATATACTCAAGCAAAACAAGGAAGAAAACCAAGAGAGACCTGGGTTCCAGGAAACAGTCGATCTCGTCCGGAAATGCAGTATAAGGAAGTCTCAGGATGCCACCTATGCAGCAAGCCTGAAGATGACCCAGGCCACATTGGAGCATTCTGTCACTGAGGATGAACCTCTTTGCTACAGCGGGTGTGGCCGAATTTGAGACTCTAACGAAAGCACATCATTGGAAATGAGACAAAAATTAAAGCAGTTCATAAACTCCTGCAAAAACAAAAAGTTATTCCAGACAGGCACCGTTCCTCTGTAGAACAAACTGGGATATGCCGTGGTTTTTCATCGGGAAGGAGCACAGGGAAGGACATGACCTTCGTGGTAGAAACAGTCTCCTGAAAGTGGCTCTGGGGTTAGGACGTTGGACACACAGAGAAAGAGGTGAATCCCAACATGGTACTTGGCTCTACAGGTGATGAGAGATGCGCATGCCCTTCACTGTTTACCAATCTTGAAAATCAACATAGAAACAGAGCACAGAAGATCAAAGTACCTCTATGAAACCAAGCACACGAATCGGTTTATCCACGGTGGGAGTGCAAAAGTAAGCCTAATGCCGCTAAATGACAGAGAGGGGAGGAGGTGGGGGGAAAGGGCGAGAACACGACAACCGCCTTCCATGTGGGATTTACTGCGTCAGCCCGGGAGAGTGTCCAAAGCGGATGGTCTTAGAAGTCGAGGGGCTCACCTACGTGAAAAGCGTAACATCCTGGAGAAATGCGGGAGATCGCCATAAGCTAAACCCTCATCTTTCACATTACTGAGTCAAGAGCTGTTGTCTCACGTCGGCCAGTCAGTAAGTAAAAAGGCATAAGTACGTTACTTAGAGTTACGGAGGTAATCGCCAGAACTGCTAAAAACAGGAGTGTTTAGAAGTGGTCGGGCTTAGGGTGAGCGGATGAATGTAAGATGGTAGTACTTCATTTTTTCAAATGAGTTATATGATTTTTATTGTTGCATTTGGACTGAGCTCCTCCACTTTTGAGCTTCTATGTGGAAGGCAGGAACAGGCTTCTTGGTTCTGGCATCTGAGGGTTTGATAGAAGCCCAAAATTGGCCCTCAGAATACCCTTTACACGGCTGAAGTTGGATGGGGACCCAGTGACACATCGGTGAGTCACATGTTTTATAACTTAAAGATAATGGTTTTCAAGATTTCTTTCTCCTCCCAGGGAATTGATTTCTGCAGACATTAAGTCAGATGCAAGCAAATCCATTTGTCTTCCTCTTTTTCATCACAGCGTGTGTTCGTGTGGGATTTGGATGAAACGATAATTATTTTTCACTCCTTACTCACCGGGACTTTTGCATCCAGATACGGGAAGGTAAGAATCCATGTTGTGTCTTCTCTCTCTGTTTCTTTTTTTTTTTTTTTCCCCAACATGACAGTCTGTCCAGCTGGTTTGTCCTGGGAATTGTGGGGGCAGTTTATGAGGCGGCTTCTCCAACAAAAGCTACCCCTCTGGGTCAGTCTGGGTTTGAGAGCTCCTATGGAATTTTCCCTCGACATGTGAAAATTTAATTAGCTTCCCCTTCTGTCGTCCCCCATGCCTTTCTTCCAACCCACGAAGCGTTCAGCATCCACTTGATCGGATATAAGCTCTTAGTCTGATACACTGCAGCCAAAAACAGTAATTTTAGCTAAAAAACGAGGCAAAGTATTTTCCTTGTTCCCTGTTGTTTATCTTATCGTCTCCGGCAGATGAATTTCATCTTCCTTCCGTGTTTCTGAGACAAGGGGCAGGCGTTTTGTCAGCTCCGGCGTGGACCTTCACGACAGCTTGGCCAATCTGTCACCGACAGATTATGTCGGGGAACCATCCGGTTAGAACTCTGGGCAGATGCTATGGGCTGATCGGTGGTGAATGGGAGAAACCCTGAAACCACCTTCATAATGCAAAAACGAACCCAGCTGCTAAGACCCAAACCCTGCCGATTCTGTGCATCCGTCCTGCGGGCTTCCTGGCAAACCACATGTGGATGCCGTCTCCCCGGGGAGGCCGGTTGGGGGGGCGGGGGGTTGGGTGGAGGGACAGGGATTCCGAGAACAGGCAAAAGCTATCATCTCATCTGAGGTGAGCAACCTGCTGGCAGCTGCGTCCATGCACGGGTAGGAACCGTGAGACTCGCCAGCGCCTGGAAAATATTTCTGTTTCTGTTTAGAGGCCAGAAATATGATTTGACATCACCTCATGGCTTTTCCAGCTGCTCGTGTTTTTTATGGGGCTTATAACAAGCTGGATGTGTAATTAGCAAGATAGATTTATCATCTGCCATTGTGTTGTAAAGAATATAAAAATGGTGTTGGTGGTGCAGAAATCTCTTGCCACGTAGGAATGCCGTTAATACGTCTAGCAGGGCCTGCGGGAAATCCGGCGTGCGTTCTTGGACAGAGCACGGCTTAGGCAGAGGGTGGCGGAGTCGAGAACTGCCGAAAGGACACCAGACCGGACTGGCCGGCGTTGCAAAAAGTTGAGCCGTCCCGCAGGGGCTATCGTAGCGGGTTACCCACTAGGTCTGGGCTAAAGCGTTTTCCGAACCACCCCGGTAAAGTCACTGCCCCCTGAAAGGCTTGCCTTCACTCGTCTTGCCCTTAGAGACGGCCCCCTGTCAAGTTCTGCGGCTGCGGGTAACGGTCGGGTTCTCGCGGGTTGTGTAGGGCTTTGTCATCATGGGGATGGTTTTTGTGTCCGTGTCTCGCCACCGTTCCTGAAACCACACTGTGGGCGTCCTCGAGACCAGGGCAGAGGCCAGAGCCCATGCCCCCTTGTCATCCCTCACTGCCAGCTGCCTCTCTCCAGCCGTACCACCTCAGCCCAGCCACGTTCACGTCCAGCTGTGGTGCTTGTCCTTTATAGCCGCCTGTAGAGGGACCATCCTACAATACAAACCTGGTCGTGTCACATCCCTCCCAAGGCTGTTCGTGAGCAGGCTCCTGCCCCCCTCTGCAGCCCTGTTTCCTGCCTCTCATCCTAAAGTGCTTTCTGTCCTCAAACCAGCCACCTACCCTCCCATCTCTGCTGGGTTTCTCCCAGGAAAGGCCGGATGCGGAGTGGAAAAGTGAGATGGGAAGGGAAGGCAGCCCATACAAGTTACCGCTGCAGGTGACCGGGGCTCAGTCCCACCGGGGACCCCTGGGAGACTCTGTAGAACACACCTCCGAGCTGACCCGCCAGGAGTGAGGGTGCTGGGATATTTCTCTGCCACTTCCCTTCCATCATAGCTTAAGGGCTTCCCTAGGGGATTACCTCCCTGCACTTCGGGCCTGCCCCTGAGAAAGCCCTCCAGCAGGGAACCTTGAGACTAACAGTTGAAAGCCTCTGCACCCACAGGAATGGCAACAGCTGAGAGGATGTGGGGAAGGAGCACCCTGGAAGCCTCTGCTATACTCTGGAATGTTCTAGCATGTTGTTTTACTAGCATGAGTCTTACTTGTCTTTCAGTTCTCATTTTATTTTTTTTTTTAACGTTTATTTATTTTTGAGAGAGAGACAGAGCGTGAGCAACGGAGGGGTAGAGAGAGAGGGAGACAGAATCTGAAGCAGGCTCCAGGCACAGAGCCCAGTGCGGGGCTCGAACTCCGACAGTGAGATCATGACCTGAGCCGAAGTCTGACGCTTAACCGACTGAGCCACCCAGGCGCCCCAGTTCTCATTTTAAATGTAGCTTCCTTCGAGAGGAGTTGGCTAACCTTTATCTAAAGCACAGCTCTCCCCATAACTGTGTTTTTCATCTATAATTATGCACTCACTGTGTGTCTCCCTTCTAGGCTATATGTACCACAAGGGCAGGGCCCATGAACATTTTTTTACCCACTCAGCCAAACGATGCACGGGCCAGAATTGCTCAATAAATATTTGTTGCATGATTAAGTCAGGACGATCCTCTAGAAAAGCTACATGATGACAGGCACTTTTTTTTTTTTCTTTTTTTGCCCATTTGGTTCATTGCTTTATCCCCAGCGCATAGAACAGTGCCCCCACTTAGAAGGCATCAAATAAATATTTGTGGAAGGAAGGAAGGAAGGAAAATAGTATCCAAACAAAAAACGCCTAGCTGGTGGCCTCTGACCAAATTCAGCCTGCGGACATTTTTGTTTGGCCCCTAGAGTGTTTGAAAAAATGTGAATTTGTTGCCAACATTTAAAAATCGGGAGATTGCACGGACCCAAACAGTCCAGATTTCCAACTCTTCTTGAAAAATTAGAGAATCGGGGCGCCTGGGTGGCGCAG